CAATTACAAATGTGTCAAAAAAAAAAAAAGATGCCATCTCAAAATCTTATTAAAAATGTTTCATGTTCAGGCTTTGATTGTGCCAGAAGTAATACTTGTACAGCCTACTTCTCTTCAGATTAACCTTAATATTTTTACCTCACCTCCTCAAAAGGCAGGACTATAAGGCCCTGATGTAACTGAAGATAGAGTCTGGACTAGGTTCTTAACTTGATTATGGTAATGCATGAGAGAAGAGACTCCAGCCAATTCTGTTGTAGCCAAACTGGTTCTGTAATGCTGACTGCTCAAACATTGCAAGCAAGGCCTTTCCACCTTGCGGATTCCTTGTAGGAAACATGCCAGGAGGATGCTGAAGCCTTGGAGAATATACAAGCAGTTGCGTAAGATTGTCTGTTGGTGGATATGCAGTAGAAGTGGCTAATCTATTCATTTGTGAACTGTAAAGATACATTGCAGTTAGTGATGCCTGGCAAATTTTTCATTGTGTGCCTTTACTTAAGACAGGTGGGAAAAAGGCAGTTCCTTATTAATTCACCTAATGATTGGCTGGATGTCTTTTGGAAAGTCTTGGCTGTTCTTACTTTCTATGGGCATGATTCCCTATCACATCATTTTTCCTTTGACTGAGATTTGATCCGTTTGCAGCAATGACAGTTTAAATCCTGGGGAAAAATCCCATTTCTTGTGTGACCGGAGTAAGGGCCTTTCCCTATAGTAGAGCTAGTGAGGTGTCTGAATAGAGCAGGAGGAACCACAGGACTAGCAAAATTTATGCTCCTGTGTAGTTCTCATATGTGTGAGGCATGCTGAGGGATTGAAATTGCCTTTTTATTAGGATGAACTTCAAAATTAAAGCAGATTCTGAGTACAGCAAGTCATTTCAGAAAAGAACCCAGTTCTTCATGTGGTGTCTTACAGAAACTGTAACAGAGTTTTCCTTACATGTCTTGAAAACAAAGTGTCTGCATTTCTTCATGGAGATTTTTTACTCAGATATCATATATATATGGGTATGAACCTGGAGAAAAGTTCTACTGAGGTCAATGCTCCTGTTTCATTTATGCCCGTATAAGATCTATCTTTTAGCTTCTAGTCTTCAGTTACAAAATATTTTAGATAGAGACTATTGTCTGACTGCAATGCATTTTGTTTAGGAAAAAATCATGTTTATTCCTTTAGACAAGCTAACTTTAATAGTTGTAATCCTCAGTTCTGTCTTGTTGGTTAGTCTGTTTTGAGAGAAATCCCAGCTTTCTTTTTGTACTTCAGTACAGCATTATTTCAGTTCAACTTATATTTTGCTCTTTGGTTTTCTCTCTAGGGTCCTAGTGGTGAACGTGGAGATAGAGGAGAACCTGGTGATGAAGGCTACAAGGTAATACCTCTTGCTTTTTATTCTTTTTATTTGAGCTATGCATACATGTAGAGTAGTGTAGCAGAAGTATCATCTTCTCTCTCAAGTGTGCAGAGATGCACTTGCTGGTGCCTCACTGCACTGATGAGCTCTTAGAACACATTGGAGCATCTTTTATATGAGAAGAAGCTGAGAGAGCTGGGACTCATGAGCTGGACAAGAGAAGGCTTGGGTAATCTTAATGTGTATAAATACCTGATGGGAGGGAATGAAGATGAAGGCGCCAGACTCGTCTCAATAGTGTCCAGTGACAGGACAAGAGGCAAAGAGCACAAACTGAAACACATGAAATTCCTTTGAACACAAGAAAATGCTTTTTTTACTGTGAGGATGACTGAGCACCAGAACAGGCTGCCCAGAGAAGTTGTGGAGTCTTCATCCTTGGAAGTGCTCAAAACCTGACTGGACATGGTCCTGGACAACCTTTTCTACCTGGCCCTGCTTGAGAAGGAGGGTTGCTCTAGATGTCTCAAGATGTCCCTTTCAGCCTAAACAATTCTGTGATTCTGTAATACTGAACGAATTAATATTTTTCTCTGTAATTTAAGTACTATTTCTTTGTCAATCTAATCCTAAGAATTATTCTTCAATTGTATTCAGTCTTTCAGCATATACAAATTGGATGGTAACTCATTCTAATCACTAATGCAGTTTGTTTGCTGAAATACAAAAGAGACAGTCCTTGACACGGAATATCCTGTTTAAGTTACACAGATAGTACAGATAGGCATAGTAATAAATCAATGAACTAAATATGATCTATGCTTACAGAAGTGCAGATTTGTTTAAACAATATGCAATTCCCACTTGCAGTTTGCAGTAGAGAATTTAAAGAACAACTCCCTAAGGTCTGATCTCTGGAGAGCTGAGCATACTTTGTCTAGGTCACATCAGTGAAGCTGGAGCCACCCAACACCTCCCAAGATGGGCTCTACAAGGAAATCCATAGCTCGCTGAGCATGACAGCCTGAGTTACTTGTATTGCAGTATGTTATATTTTCTGCTTCCCAGGGTCATATAGGTCTTCCAGGGCTTAGAGGACCCATTGGACAACAGGGACCTCCAGTAAGTGTTTCAAACAAGTGAGATTTCTCTATTGGCTGTTGAAAATGCATTTTTCACCTGCATTCAAATGATTCTTTTTATTTATTTAATGTATGTTCTTTCAAAAGGGAGAGCCAGGTGAATTGGGAGAGCAAGGTCCAAAAGGAGAAAGAGGTTCAGAAGTAAGTAGAAAAAAAGTAAAGCAAAACTGCACTTAACTGGAATTTGTATGTTTTTATTGTTCACTGACTATCCTTGGAAAATGGTTGTATAAGGCTAAAACTCAGCGTTGGGTTACCTTTTCATACCTGCAGGGACAATAAAGATATAGAATGGAAAATTGCATAACGATCTGGGATAGTAAATACATGTTATTTTATAGGTAAGTGGTTTTACTTTGGAGTGATATAAAGCATTATGAGAGGCTCTTTTAGAAATATTTGAGTGATATTCAATTACACTCTTACATGGAGTTCCTTGTGGCAAGCTAGCTCTGGAAGACACCCAGGATTTTACTGCTCTGATCTATAAATGAAGCCTCCTGCTACTGAACTGCACTGAATTTTCAGAGACCTGGGACTAAGGAATTTACTACAGAACAGTAGAGGAGTAATGACAGAGCAAGCCATGAAAAAGATCAAAGACTAAATCTTTCCCTTTGCAAATAACGGTTCATCTTGGTGACGTGTTGAAAATTGCCAGAAGTATTTTATATTCTCCCATAGGGTGAATTTCATTGGCTTTTGAGATTTCAAAAGATTTAGGCTAAAAGGTTTCTTACAATACCAATTGCCATTGCAACTTAAATATGGTATGTTGTCTAAGAAGTTCCATGGCGCAACTCTGTTAGAGTTTCAAAATTTTCTAGGTAAATACAAGAATCTGTAGTAGATTAGGAATGGGGAGCAACAGAAAGGAAATGTGATGTGAAGACATTGTCAGCATGTACTGTAGCCATGTGCTCAGGTATATTGCCTTTGACAAACTACTCACAGCGCAGGATAAAATCAGTCATTCCTCTGTCTTTCCCTTGGAGAATGTTTTCTTTGTGCTGCAAATGCACCTCAGATTAAAACTGCCATTTGCAACTATGGAACCGATATCCAGCCTGGAGCAACCCATAAGAGCCTAAAGGTTGACACAAAAATGTTTACAGTGAAAACATTCGTAGTCTTAACTCCAGTGGCATGACTGGTGCTGCTATAGCTAGCCTTACAAAGCCAATCCCATAAACTGCAATGCTGAATCATCTCAATTCAGAAATTTTAATGAAAAAATGTAAAGTTCTTTGAATATACACATTCCAGTTCTGATTGGTGGACTTTTTTTATGCCTTTCTTAACAAAAAGGCATTAAATTAAGGAATATAACAAAATTTTGCTGATTTTATCATATTTACATTAATTATAAAACATTGACACTTATCTTAGCTTTTTCACTTTATTGCAAGTTATGTAATATTGCAGCATAATAGTTGAGCATCACTTCTGCTTTAAGAATAGTGTTAAAATAATTAATTCAGAAAATCTTGAAAGCTTTTTTTCTACTTGATCTATGCTAACAAGTGTTATTCTTGTCCCTGCTGTGGTTGTATCTTTTAGAGGTAGACTAAAATTATATTCTGTGAAGAATATCCTATAAACAAAATTCTCTGAGATTCTTTTGACCCATTCTGAGCTTTTCTTCCTTGGTGCTTGGCCACCTGTGTCACTAAACCACTTACAAGAATGTTATCTGCTATCAGTATCACTCCGTTTTCCAAGACTACAGATTCCTAGATCAGTCAAGACCAAAAAAAAGTCTGATTTTAAGTAATTTTTTTTCTTTTATATACATCTTAGATAAAAGGAATGTTCCCATATGTGACACTATTGTTTTCTAGTATTCTCTTCCACATACACTCAGTGCACCTACATTGCCTACTTTTCATGACTTCCCTTTTTAAAAGGCACGGGAAGCGCTGTAAAAGTGTACTTCCTTACAGAGGTGTGACTGATAGAGGAGAAATCACCAGATTCATAGTGAAAAACTTTTTATGCCTATTGTTGTTGAAAAAGTTCTGAAAATTACACTATACCGATTCGGGAAAGGGGAAAATATATAAAATTCTACAAAAAATATATTCACTTTTACTTGAAAAACTTTCTGCTGTCTCCTGAAATGGAAACAATCTGGTCCAAAGCCAGGCAGCGTGAACGTGTGTGTACTAGAGGTGAACAATTCTCAGCTCTTCTTAGGGGATTGAGTTGAAGACGTTTGTCAGTTCACAAGTATTTGTAACTTCTAGGGACCCACAGGGAAGAAAGGAGCACCAGGTCAGGCAGGCAAACCTGGAATTCCGGTAAGTAACAAAATTCTACAGTCTATCTTCGGGTTATAAAAGAAAGAAAATAATAACTAATAAAACCAAAATGGAGTCATGCCAGTGGTACCAGAAAGTTTTATGCTCACTCTAAAGAACTTTCCTATTATCCAGGAAATGGAACCCCTGTAAAAATAAGAGTAATTTTTGAAACTATGTTAAATTATACTGAATTATACTGAGTTACTCAGCACATGGAAGTGAAGTGCAGCTAATACAACAACAAGGTCCTTCCCACTTGTGAAGTTACTTCATTAGATCATTTTTGCATGTGGCTTGTGGTCCATGTGCAAGTTATCACATTATATTGCACAGAGCTGTACTACTGTTCACTCCTGACTCCCATCAGTTCTTTGAACAGCTGCAGCCTACAGAAGCCTGGATCCATATGTCCATGATGGATATGACTGGCAGATCCCTCGAAGTTTAATTCTTTCTCTTGCTTGCCCTGAGCTGAAATTTTTCATGTTCTTTCTTGAGTTGCTGTAGAGGAGCTAACTTGCATCCCTTTCTCCCTGAGGGAGAAGAAAGAGCAGGAAGCAATAGGTGTTCTGTAAACATAACCAAGAACAAAATGCATCAAGGCTACTTTGGTCCCCTAATAAATAGTACCACACAAGCACATACTGTAAATAACTTTTACTGCCTCACATCAAAACATTGTCAGCAACCAGAGAAATGCAACTGCTTCACAGAGCTTGTACCTGCTGGACAGAGTGCAAGAGAAAAGCCTTTTGAAGGCAAGGAACTATGTGTCTTTTGTAAATACTCAGCTTTTTCCTCTGGAGGACTGCAGAGAGTGTATCAGTCAGCAGACAACGGAAAACAGGGAAAGGCAAGATATACAGGAAAAGTGAGGAGGAGAAAACAGTAAAACTAAAACTTGAGGCAATTTCAAAGCACATCCCAACTGAAAGATACTTCAGCAATCAGAAGTTAGAAATAAGATTAAGACGGCACTCTTCTTGTCTTCTGTATGGCTGTTGTTAACTATACTTTTTTGAACGAGATGTGTTGTAGTTAGCATATTTTAAATTTCTGAGAAATGCGTTCATACAGAGATAATTGCAGAACTCCAAGCCCCTTAAGATAGTGTATGTCAGTCTAAAGGGAAATAATTGTAAAGAAAAAATCACTGTTCCTCTGGTGGATGTGACATGACACTTTTTCATGCAAGTATAGCAACAGTTAGCAGAAACTTGCCTTATTAGAAGTTTGTATGTATTTTTGATATGTTCAAGTTTGAACAACATAAATTTACAACTGTACAATACAGAGTATCCAGTAAAATGAAGGCTGAAAAGGTATATGGTTTGGGTTTTTTACAGGGATAAATAGATTACTTTATCAGGTTTTCTTGCTTTGGTTTAAGAATCAACACTCTGAGCTGTCTTCCAGCCTGGCATACGAAGGGATCAGCCCCATGGTTTCAGCTAAAGTTGCTCAGTTCCCACAACACAGCAAGTCTCAGATTAAGCCAATAGCATTTTAAACCAAACGTCCCAATTCAGTACTCCCTCTGCAAGTATTCATTCATGTCACCAAGTCTGTTATAGTGTAGGATTTAGGAAATACTGTGATTGAAATCTAGTTCTGTGGTGGTAAAAGTGAAGAGAACCAACAGTGCTATATTTGATTTGAAATTGTTTCAAGGGGAAACCGGGGCCAGCAGGGCAGAAAGGAGCAGTTGGGTACCCTGGACCAGAAGGCATTCCTGGAAACCCTGGCAAGCCTGGGCTGTCAGGGAAACCTGGCCCTAAGGTAAGTTGCTTTCCACATTGCCTCTCTTTATGTCCTTTTGCATTGCAAATTTTCTAAGATTAGAGTATTTAAACAGAAGGAACCATTCTGAGTTCCTTGAGCATCTTGAAAATTAGACCAGTTCTTTTGTTTTCTTTCTCTTTTGCTCCTGATATTCTGGCTAGATTGTAAAGTTAGCATAAGGGAAGTGTGCTGTGAGAACTGTTTCATTAGCATATGTTAGTAGTAACTACAGCTAAGTGAAAATGCTTTGTTAATCAGAGAGGCTTCACAGTTCTGTTCCCAAAAATGAGCCGTAGACCCCAGCGGAGACTGCTTCCTCTCAGGCTCTGAGATAATCCCACGTTTTCTATATTGTCTTTGAATTTGTAACCTATGTCTCTCTACCTAAGCAATTCTGAAGCTTTGCCCAAAACCAGTGAAAAAGAGTATTGGGTATCTGAGGTATGTGGAAACATTCTTGGAAACGAGTGTTTTTGTCTGTCTGTTCTTTGCTGTGGGCCAAGGCTGGTGACCTGCTGCCTGCTCCTTGTGGGAGCAGTGACACAGCTCTTCACTTATTTGCTCCAGAGAGGAGGGAAAAAATTCCTTTAGTTGTTCTCATTGTTGAAAGTTTGATCACTTTGATTTCAAGTATGGTATTTCTCAGTAGTTCTAGTTAGATAGATCAGTAATTGTTATAAAAGGATGCCAAGTTTAGATTTGGTGTTAGGAATTAATCAAGGTGCTGAATGAGGCACCGCTACAAGTATAGATTTCCTATCTGGTTGAACAAAGAGAAAATTAAAGCAGTTACCCGTAGGGGGCGGATGTACCCCATTCGAGCCTCTCGGGTTTCAGATAATATCCTGCTGGACCGCTTCCAAGTACTTAAAATTCTTTGGAGTTGGACTTACGAGTATCACCCCAAAGAATTCTCACTTTTTTGCCTTTCCACTCAAAATGTCATCTTTCATATTAAAAGGGACTCCATTCCTCTATGTTAACAATATATAGTAATATTACAACTTGTAATAAAAAGAGGCTTGTAACTAATTTTTGCCACAAAGAATAAAAAGAATAGAATTTTTGCTATGTAATTTTATCAGTCCATCAGGCTATAAGCCACAGTATCACATTCAAAAGCCCTGAAAATCACATTTAATATTTAAATCCTGTTTTATATAACCCTTTTATTTCTATGAATACTTAACCAAATGTCATATGAAATAAAAAAGAAGATAGATAGATATCTATTTCTACTAAATTACATCACAGAAACATTCATTTGGATGGTGGCGAATTTCCATTTTGTGTTTTTTAACATGTCAAAATTGACTTAACTCCCTGTACTCAGTAACATGTTTTTTTACTAAAAGTAGTTGCTTTTGTTTATAGTCTGATGTTCTCATACATTTTCATAACAAATGTTCTGATCTTTCTTCATGTGGTAAAGTTATTGTATATGAATCCCTCCAGACTGTAGACAATCATACTAATATTATCAGATGTCTGATATTTATAAATAAGCATGTTGAATTTTGAATGTCTGTGTGGTAAGGCAGTCTCATTTTGTTTCTTGATGCCGAGCTCCTTCTTGAAAAAAATCAGTACTGTGAATCTCAACCATATTTTCAGCCCACCTGTAATGAATGAATTCAGCATCTTGTTTTCATCGGAAGGAGCTCCTTATTGTAAGCTCAGAATTCTCAGACATCACACAACACTCATCCAAGAACCATCTCAGAGAGTCATCTTCTGTAGTTAACGGAGATTAGTGCTCTCTTCCTGCATATTTCAAAATAGAGTTAGAAAATAATTAAATAGGGATCAGCACTAAAGGCTATTAATCTGAACATGCAAATTTCCAGGTCTGGGAAAAATTTTAGGTCTCATATAAACTATTCTGTATTTTACTTCCCTGTAGGAGGTGGAAGCAGTTACTGATATGCCCATGAATGTTTCCATATATATTTGAATGCACAATTACTGTGGACAGAAGATTGCTTACTTTTTCTAGATTATTGGTGCCTAAGGTGGTGATCCACCTGGGCAACTATTCCTCTTTAGGAGGTTGCTAATAGGGAAGATGCCTTGCATAAGCCCAAAGAGGCAATGGATTCTCTTGAATGTTCTCAGAAGTCTTTCAAGGTCTAGGTAGGTAATCCCACACAAGTGACATCAAAATACTTTTAGGGTAGGACAGAACAAGGTTTAAGACGAGCACTGAGCTGAACAACTGCAATGGACTATGACATGGTTAGCATTTGCTTTGCTGACAATGTGACTTGCTAAATGATAATAAATTGACTCCTCAAAAACCTCAATCCATCCCACAGTTAAAGCACATGTAGTTTTGTTGCTAAGTACAGTCAGGTTTTGCTTTTGGAATATTAGCAGAAATCTAGATGATACTGCTGATCATTGTTTTTCCATATATTTTGATCTACTATCAATGTGTGTCCATGTATACAGAAAGCATTAAGTGACTTTGACCGAGTTTATGTTATATGCCTGCATTAGCATAAAATGAAAAAACATGTTTGGCTGTTCTGCTTGTAAAGAATTATTTTCAATTTGTTAAGGGTAATAAAGGAAATGCAGGCTTACCAGGTCTGGCAGGTTATCCTGGAGCTCGAGGTCCCAAGGGATTGCCAGGCATGCCAGGACCCATGGGAGCACCCGGACTAAAGGTACACACGTGGGATCTTGTTGTTTAAGTACAGCATTACTGATATCGCTTAGTCTTCATACTGCATCCAGTGATTGTGGAACCACCATGCTATTGTTAATCATATGAGTAATTGACATCAAAACTTATTTGAAGGGTAAGACTGCAAGTTGTGTTGACCTTGTTTCTATAAACTGTAATTTGAAAACAGACATCCCAACCATCTGGATGCTATTCCCAACTCCAGAAGCCATTCAAAACACTTGGTATTTATTCACTCAGAACTTTAAGGCCAAATGTTTCCTGATGACTTTTCTTTTTAAAATTCTGTAACTACTAGAACAGTTTGGATAATTTGAACATCTAAGTAATCTATTAGCAGAGAAGTACTGTAATTTCAAGCTTAAATCCCAAGTTTGGGGGCTAACAAGCATGTCTGGGATGTCCGTTTATCATAGGACTTAAATTGTTCTTGTTCAGCCCTGTCAGAAAGAAAGAAATCTCAGAGTGCTCCATTTTCCATCCTCATATTAATTAGACTCATTGCAGTGGTAAAAGAAGCAAAGAATGGAAACATTACAGATAATTTTCTCCGTTTAGAATAGGATTTTACATCTAAATAATGATTTGCAGTGCTCTGTGAGATCTTATTGGTAAGCAGTTTTTTAAAACCTTAAGTTACTTGAAAACTGGAGGAGGGAAATACTGTCTTTGTTATCTCTTCATGAAAATATTTTAGTATAAACTGTACTCACTATTTGTAGTGTTTATTGCCAGGGCTCCCAGTCTGGATTTTACTCCTTTGTCTAGACAATGAGCTTTAGGAGGTAGTTCCTGCTTACAGATGCTTGCAATCTGAAAAAGACAGGGAATAGATGAGGTGAGGGAAAACTGTTACCACATAGTGCAAAATAAGTGTTAAGAGTCGACATAGTGAGTCAGGCCAAAGGTCTGTCTTTGTTAGAGCAGAGAGGTAACACTTAGGAAAGAGCATAAGCTCAAAGCAAGCATGAAAGGTGTATATTCACAGCCTTAATTGCAGCTTGGTAACCTCCTGAGCTAGACATGGCTTCTATGTATGTGATAGTCCTCATAGGATTTTTTTTGCATGAACTTGTCTAGTTTCCATTTAAGTCAATGTAAACTTTTAGTCCAACGGCAAGGATTTCCACAACTATACTATGCCTCGCTCAGAGAAGTATTTTTTAAATTTACTTCTAACCTGGCTGGTCTGTATTTCGTTTTGTGAATTTTAGTGCTTGCACTGGAAGATACCATACTGGAAATGATCCAATATGTATGTTTTTTGCATTTTAGTGAGTGTATACTTACTGAAAGCATTCCTGATGGAAATAAAATGAATGGAATAGGTCTATTTCTTAGAAAGAAAGCATTTTCCACACTTCTGCCAGGAAACTTATCTTTACATTTATAACTGTCACAACTGTAATAAAGCATATATTGTTTTCCTATTAACAGGGTGAGAAAGGGCTTCTGGGTCATCCAGGAAAGCGAGGCAAAAGAGGCCTTCCAGGATCACAAGGTGACCAAGGACCAGCAGGAGACTCTGGACTGAAAGGACAGACCGTATGTAATCACAACTATTGATGCAAAACAAGTAGTCCAAGAGTTACCAACATGAAATAATAGTAAGGATGTCTGCTCCTATTACAGGGAGAAGATGGAGATCAAGGTTTAATGGGGTTTCAAGGATTCCCAGGTCCAAAAGTATGTGCTCATTCTTTTCTGGTAGAACTCTAAGCCATTTACAGAGTGAGAACATTAGGAATGCATAGAATTAATCAGCTTTAACAATAATTTGTTTAAAATCTATCTGAATTGTTGGAACATTGTAGGCAGAACTGTGTACTCCATGTCCAAGGATGAACATTCTTGGTCTGTGTGCTTGGTATTTTCACTGTCACTTGTTCTTAGAAATTATCTTATTTTCCCTAATTACAAGAGATTGAAACAAGTGGATAACTAACATCCCTGTTTGATTAAACTGTTCCTTTGCATTTTCAGGGTCCTGCAGGGGACATTGGCTTAGTTGGAATTCTGGGCCCGAAAGGTCCAACAGGCCAAGTTGTAAGTGTTTCACTTCATGAAAGAGATTGTCAGGATGGCTTGCGAGTGGTACATGTATTTAATTTAGGGAATCATCTTTTTTCTTATTAACAAGGCCAGAACCCTCTCACCAAACCTTTCTCTCTGAGACTGTCTCCACCAGAAGCCCTTTGCTTGTTCTGCAGCACAGCTGTGGTTGCACCATGGGTACAGATACACAAGCAGAGCTGGGCTCTTAATCTTGAAGGAAAAAAGCAAGCTCTGCTGACAAAGTGTGGTTCTCCTAGTATAATTTCATCTACACAAGTATCCTTATCGCTGTCATATCTTTGTCTACTGGGGTTGAACATTCTCTTTCTTCTTACTGGCAACAATGCTGATTGTATAACCATTCTGCAGCAAAAGAAAGAAGGGTCAAACTTTACCTGCAGTAAGACTGAGTGGTGCTCAGGCATTATTGATTAATAGATAATCTTTTTCTAATAAATGTTTTCTTTTTATCTATAAGGTTACTAACCTGCATTAGCTTATTCTTCGCGACACCTTCTTCATGACATTCTGCTTTGCTACTCACCAAAAATGTGGAAGCATCTTTAGCATTTTCTTATATTGGGGAGTATGCATCCAGCTTACAACATCAAGTGGAAAAGTGGGGGAAGGTTGAAGCACGGAAGGCCTTACTACAAAATGTTTTTCTCTCACTGCTGCCATTGCCATCACAGAACTGAATTAGTTCAGTTAACTAGATGCAGAGCAGCAGTTTTAGAGGCCTGTTCTAATAGCTACTTTCTTTTTCTAAATGTTCCTGTACAAAATAAACACTGGAAATGAGCAGTTTGCTCTAAGTGAAATGGAACAGGAAAGTGACATTTTAGCAGCACTTGCTGGCAGCCTTACAAGAGTACTTGTGGGCAGTAATATAGCTCCAGATATAGTTGATTGTAGCTCAATAAATATGTTGTCTTTGGTAATCAGAGTACTTAAGTTTCCACTGGTTTTAGTGCATCAGCTTTCGCGTAAAAGAATGTCTGTGGGCTTTCCAAGCACAACTATTACTAATTATTAAAATAGTTACCTTACTGATTTTGTAGCAATGTGCACGCAATATTCAGAAAAAGAATATCACCATGATCTTTTGGATATTTGCCAGGGCTGTGTGCTGAGCAGCTTTAAACCAGGACACATCATGAGGATTTTCTTCATTTTGGAAACATGGTGGACTAATAAATTCTTTGCTTGTTTACAGGGATATATTGGCCCTGTTGGTCAAGAAGGCATAACAGGCCCAACTGGCAGGCCTGTAAGTTTCCCTTCTCTTTTGCATAACTTGGTTAATTCACCTACTCTTATTTTTAGTAATCTGTTTTGCAACTAGCAACCTTCTCATTTTTCTATTTGCAAATAGTAACTAGCAGGACCATCTTCATGTTATACCATGTTGGTAAGCAAACATATGCAACTCCAGCATTTGTAATACAAGAAAATAATGACAAAAAACAATGCCAAAAAAGTCATTGCGATGGCTTTCTGTGTAAGTGCAGTGTACAGAGGGCATGCCTACAGGGGCAATGGGTGAGTCGAGGTGTAAAACAGCAATAGTAACTACCACCTGGATATTCTTTCTCAACCTTAGGTCTGAGACATATCTAGAGAGTACCCACACTTGGTTTCAATGTAGTTTATTTTTATGTAATTGGGCTGAACTGTCCAGAGTGCCCCTCTAGACACACTGGCAGTGCCCACAAGTCCTTGTTGGGGTGTTTCAGGTGCTGGCAAGGTCCCTGTTACAACTCAAATGTCTTCTTGGCCTTTCTGACAAACTTCAATGCACCCTGGGTTCTCTGCAGTGGGAGAGCTCTGCCCTCATCCCTTTTTCCATCCCTTGTCACACTGCCTGTGCCAGAGCAGTATTCTGCAAGGGCACCCTCTGGTTCATGTCTGCAGACTACCCAGCCATGTAAGGTAGTTTTTAGAAGCTCTTTGTACCACCCAAGTTCTTGTGACTGATCAACAAGACTTGGAGTGAATGGGAATGTCTAAAAATTGAAATCATAATCATAAAAATAACAAGAATATCCAATAAAAGTAATAAATAAAAATATTTACCAGTGAAAAAGAAAGGAGAAGAGAAATGTTCCTTCTATAATTAGACTATGTTTTCCACTTGTTGGGAAAAAGACAGTACTCTAAGTGTTGCTGCAGTCTTTTCAGTCCCACTCAGGAGGAAGTCTTTACAGTTGCCTATACTTGTATGAAAGCTTTAAGTAGACTTCATATTGAATGAAATAGTTTGCCATTGTTGTTAAGAAAGCATTACAGTTGAAGATTACTTCTGTGTAGTATGAAATGCTGCCCTCAAGATGCAAAATTCTTCCAGAGAAGAATTGTAAGATTGTTACCATCTTCAGAAACACAGTTTAAGTGCAAAACTAGACAAAAATGCCATGGAAACAGAAAAGAGTGTCTAATCTGACTGTGAGAGGAGAACTAATGGAGTAATATAAACAGATATGTAACCAATGGATTTCTTCAGTGACAGAGTATCGAGTTTTGTTCTCTACTCTTAAGATCATGAAGCACTGATGTATTACAGTGAATCAAATTGTAGAGAATACAGCTAATTGACAGGGAGACCACTGACAGTTAAAATTACTGAAAAAAACCATATTTACGATCCAAGGAAAACAACAGCTTTCCACATACAGGAATTACAGGATGTTTTTCAAGTTTTCTAATCGTACAGGAAAATTTAAAACCCAGAGTTGTAAATACTTCCAGAGATGAGACCGGACTTTTCATGTGAACAGTATAACTCTCATGGATATCAATCTGCTTATTTCTGTCCTAGGCAGCTAGAAAGCATTTTGGATTAACAGTTTCTCTTTTTTACAGGGACCGAGAGGTGAAAAGGGCACAAGGGGTGAAATGGTAAGATGAAACAACTTTTGTGCTTTCATTTTTTTGGCTGTGTAAAAACTATTTCTGTTTTACTCTGAGTGTACTCTTGCATGCTCTGAATGCCAGACAGTCGTGTTTTTCTCCTGGAGAGCGCTGGCCAAGAAAGCTGGTAGCATGAGTCAAAAGTCTGACCTTCTCTTGTTCAAGTTGACTTATGTAGATATGCTCAGTGGGTGTGCACTGTTGTGCAGTATGGCCCCGATCATATAACAGTCACATACTCCAAATCTGTCCCAGTTCAGATCTAAAAGAAAAATCCTTTGTCATATTTGTTGTCAATGCTCCAGTGCCTCACAGCATGCAAACACATGTTCTTACGTCTATATCACCTTGTCTAGAGAGGGAGAAGTTCAGGAGAAGCCTAGAGCTGAGGATGTGTGTCCATGCCGTGTATGCTAGCTGTAGTAGCAGTAGGCAGCATTGATAGGTTATGAAGCTGCTGTCTCTGATTTTTCGGTAAGAATATTACATTAGGTTTTGTACCTTAATAAATGTTGGATTTAATTTAAAAATTGTATTAGAGCTAGAAAAGTCTCCAATTAATAATGGCTATGTGAAAAGCCATTAAATTATCATATTTACACTAAATATGAATACAATGATAGTTGATACCTATGACATTGCTTTAAATGGCAGGTTTATAGTTCTTTTTCCAGTAACTAGCCAATGTGATCTTGTTCCTGTTGCTCTTACCCTGCCTTTCACCCCACCTTACTTAAAATCATTTAGTTTCTCTTGTCTTATTGTATTTTGCTTTTAGCAGCCACCTGTGTGCAATTCCAACCTAACTGCTGTATAAACGTTTTGAAAAATAAATCAGAAATATTCAAAATTGCTTAAAGAATTAAGGCTTGGAACTAAGCTTGCTGTACATGTCTTGGGGAACTTTCCTCTTTGATTCTAATGCTCTTGAGGCAATTGCTATATCAGAATGAGGAAAAGTAGTTTCTTAATTCATGCTGCTATTAACCATCTTAACTGTCTTTTTCTACTGTTGATTCGTAAGAATTGCTGTGACAGCATAGAGCTAAAAATGCTATGCTTAAAAAATAATAATTTAAAAAATCCAAAATGGTGAACAAGAAAAACTCGTTTCCATTATTGGTGCTGGTATTTAAGAAATTATTTCGTAAATATTCATAAATAAGTTCCTAAATTCATCAAGATGAATTAATGTCCTAAGACTGTCTTCAGAAGAAGAATGTTTAATTTTAGGTCATACACAGTGGCATTGGTTTATATTATGTAGCCAAGAAAAGGATTTATTTCCAACTATTTTCAGATACAAAGGAGAGAAAATGATTTTCATCCAACTGTGTATTCTGAGCTTGAATTTATACCTTTAAAATTGATATTGGCATTCTTCCTGGAATCACAAAGATTTTTTGCAGCAGTTCAAGTTTTAGATACAGTTTTTAGTCTGTCAGGGATACAGTGTTCGTTACTAGAAAGAAATGTCCTTTTATGCCCTGAAAAACATGTAATGTAAAATCATGTCTCCTTGTTCCTTGAACTAAAGTTCAGGTCCTGTAGGCTATTTCTGGAGAAAAATTGATAGAGTCAGAAACAGAGTTTGTTGAAAAATTTTAATCAAAATTATTTTTCAATTCAAAATATTCGTGTAACTGTGATTAAAACATTTAGAAAAACATGGAATAGATTTTGGAATATTGTTTCAGAATTCTGACATTCGGTAGAATCATAGCATGGTTTGATTGGAAGAGACCTTAAAGATCACTTAGTTCCAACCCACCTGCAATGGGCAGGGACATCTTCCACTAGCCCAGGTTGCTCAAAGCCCCATCCAACCTGACCTTGAACGCTTCTAGGGACAGGCCATCCACAACTTCTCTGGGCAACCTCTTCCAGTGCCTCACCACCCTCACCATGAAGAATTTCTTCCTAATATCTAATCTAAATCTTCCCTCTTCCAGTTTAAAGCCATTGCCCCTTGTCCTATCCCTACATGCCCTTGTAAAAAGTCTCTTCCCAGCTTTGTCGTAGGCCCCTTTTAGGTACTGGAGGGCTGCTGTAAGGTCTCCCTGGCGCCTTCTCTTCTCCAGGCTGAACAACCCCAACTCTTTCAGCCTGTCTTCACAGGAGAGGTGCTCCAGCCCTCTGATCATCTTCATGGCCCTCCTCTGGACCTGCTCAATCAGGTCCATGCCCTTCTTGTGTTGGGGTCCCCAGAGCTGAAGGCAGTACTGCAGGGGGGGGTCTCACCAGAGCGGAGAAGAGGGGGGAATCCCCTCCCTCCACCTGCTGGTCACGTTTCTTTTGATGCAGCCCAGGATAGGGTTGGTTTTCTGGGCTGCAAGCGCACATTGCTGGATCATGTTGAGCTTCTCGTCCACCAGTACCCCCAAGTCCTTCTCCTCAGGGCTGCTCTCAATCCATTCTCTGCTCAGCCTGTATTTGTGCTTGGGATTGCCCCGACCCATGTGCAGGACCTTGCACTTGGCCTTGTTGAACTTCATGAGTTTTGCACAGGCTCAGCTCTCAGGCCTGTCAAGGTCCCTCTGGATGGCATCCCTTCCCTCCAGCATGTCGACCACACCACACAGCTTGGTGTCATCGGCAAACTTGCTGAGGGTGCAGTCAATCCCACCGTCCATGTCGGTGACACAGATGTTAAACAGCACCGGTCTCAATACTGACCCCTGAGGAACGCCACTCATCACCCATCTCCACTTGGACATGGACCCATTGACCGCAACTCTTTGAGTGCGACCATCCAGCCCATTCCTTATCCACTGAGTGCTCCATCCATCAAATCCATGTCTCTCCAATTTAGAGACAAGGATGTCATGCAGGACAGTGTCAAATGCTTTCCACAAGTCCAGGTAGATGAATTTCTGAAAGTGTGTTTTAATTTTCTTAATTTTTTGTTATTTTATGGCATGTAACGTAATGAATTATGATACAGAGTCATAGGACAATCCAGGTTGTAAGGAACAATCTCAAAACATTTCTAGACCAACTTCCTGTTTAAAAGAGTCAGCTCTGAGATCAGATCACGTTGCTCAGGGCTTTATTCAGCCAAGTCTTGAAAATCTCCAGGGATAGAGATTGGATAATCGCTTTGGGCAATATGTTTCAGTGTGTGACTGTCCTCAAGGTGAAAAAAGATATGATATGATATGGCATAATCTGTAATTTTCTATTATCATCTTTTATCTTAGAGTCAGGGAAAGCTTAACATTAATAATTTTTGTTAAAAATACTTAGTTTCTGGGAAAATTTCAAAAGTCATGGAAAATATGGAAGTCCTTGGGATTGCTCTTGTTTTCAAAGTTAAGCATATATATCATTGCATGTAAAATCAGAGCCTTACAGTATTAGAAAAAGATTGGGAGTTTGGCATTTGAACTTCTGTACTAGCAATCAAATTGGGCAATTGAAGAATTAAAAAGCACACTAAAACTAACTGTTCTATTCTCCACTTTTGTTATTATGAACTGGAATTACACTTTTCTCACTTAAATTCTCATGTGATCAAAGGGTAAATTAAGTAGATTTGTAAAGGTAATCCTGTACATTCCAGTAAAACATTTAGCAATTAACTTAATCCATGAAAAGTGTAATTTAACCTTATTTTGCTGCTCTGCAACAGAAAGAACATTTATAACATCTCTACAGGATTTTCAACACACTATGCAATTTCGTTATCTTTTAAAGGCTTGTAAAGGTAATTGATATAGCCTTCTGAAGTTTTAATGCGCCTAGGAAATGTAATATCCCCAAAAGTAGTTCGCTATAGTTAACGAATAGCGTTCAATATTTACCTTTTTTTTGACATGGGTTTTATTGGCAAGGAGACAGTGAATCAAGACAAATCACATTCTTCTTTTGCAAAATACCTTAAATTCATTTGGAACAGTGCAGGTTTTGATATTTAAAATATTCAGTTCTATCTCAGAAACCACTGAAAATTTGAACTGTTCTTGTCCTAAGACTTTTTAAGTCTTAAAATTGTGACACGTGCCAAGAACATAGAATATTAACTGAAGCATTCAGTCATCTGAAAAATCCACTGGAATGTCTAAATCTCAGCACTCAGAACAAGGGTATCTATTCATCAGAGAGCAGTGGTTACTTAGGGAAAAACTGTTGAAGACTTTGTGCCTTGCCTTGACTTGGTATTTGCATAATCAAATCCTGAACCAAGACAAACAAATATATTCTTACACTGTCAAATTCATTTCTCAAGTTTCTTTTTCACACTTTCATTTCACTTCAGCAAGCATGATCAGACAGTCTAGTAATACATCCACATGGGATTGAAGATATCCTGCAGCAGTCTCACAGCACCTGAGTTGCTGATCTGATTAATTAAATGGGGAGGTCAGCCTTCTCTGCTGGCATACAACAGTGTAGCTCTGTGAAACCCAGTTGATTTGCAACGTCTTAGGGACTAACCCAAAACAGTGAATGTCATCTCTGCAAGCTCATCTCTCATCAGTTTTGTAATAAGGAATAACAACGATAATATTTCATGCCTATTTAATAGTAATAGATTTCAAAGAAAAGTCAAGCTGAGCAATAATCAAACTCAGAAGAGCAAAAGGAAGCTAGGTACTTGCCACACAACCCACAGGGTTTTCAATACTACTCTATATACTAAAATGACATATTCTTTGATTTCCATTTCCCAACATTAATGTATGTATAAAATATGAGTAAATATTTACCTAAAAGATGGCTTAGAGTCCCTTCTATAAGTGTAAGTGGATGAAGCGTAAATAAACAGGGTCAGGATGTATCAGTTGAAAAGCTGACAATATTTACAGTCCCTAGAGCTTACACCATTAAGGTCGTCTTAGTTAAGTATCAGAAGACCATCTCTCTAAACACCCAGAAATAGCTTCAGTTTTGATTCTCCCCTGTTCTCCAAAGACCACGTGTAAAACATGGGTCTTGGCCTCAAAGCCATTTGCAGTCCCTCAACACAGCCTTGTTGGTATAGATCTGGTGCTAGGAATTACATGATGGCCCCCACTTTTCACACCCTGAGCACTTGAGCCCCTCTGGCATGGCCAGGGCAGGTGATGTGCAGGCACTGTAACTTGTGCAGCTGTGGAGGTCATTGTAACCCCTGACAGATGCATTCCGCAGTAGCTACCATGTGCCCTGCCTTACAAATATGTCTAGAGATAGTAAGAAATGCAACTGGTATTCTCCTAAGAACTGATAAATTTGGAGCCTCAGTGAATTAAGTAACTCACTTCTATCTGCTTTCAGATCCTTTTTTAAATATATGTGAAGTAATGTTAGATTGGATCTGGCCTTTCTTTAACCATTTCCAGCTGCCCTTGCTGGTGGCAGCTTGAAGCACAAGTTCAGCAGTTGCAGCATGCAGTGACACTCGCACAGATCTTGCTGTGAGATTTCACAGCAGGAATACTTTTTATTACTACATTAAGAGATTTACAACTTCATACCTCTGTGACTAGATCGGTTTTGCAATATTTGTCAGTATGACTATGTCAGATAAGATTATTTCTCTTTTGGCAGAGACTTAGTACTAGTCTGGCCATACTGGTGTAAGAAGGCTTTTACTGGAACAGCTTATTGTGCTTGAATAACTGGTTCAAGCAGCGCTGGCTAAAGAATGTTTTGCTTAAATTAACTTAGTTATGTTATAAGGTTTTACTAATACATGGTGCAGGTCTGGCCTCTGCCTTTCATTCCTTCTTTTCTTTTGCTCATATTAAGGCACTGCCACCTTTTCTTTTCCTTGTCATTGTTCTTGCTATTGTTTATGCTACAGCAGCTCCTAGAGGCTTTGAGTATATAGACTGAAGAAGAGAATCTAACAGAGACACAAGTATCACTACATATTAACAAATATTCATAATCATTCCATCTTAATGTGAATAGTTGCTCAAAGAAATGATAATTCAGATGGGGTTATTGTGTTTGGGACGGTCCATGTCCAACCCTAAGGCAAGCCTAAAACTTAGATTTAAGAGTATGTGCATTGTAGGCACTATAAGCTAGGGAAAAGCAGCTGTTCCTTCTCCTCCTCTCCTCACTACTGCATCATCCTACACAGTAAATTGATACCACTTATGATGAGGAAATAAGTGCATAACTTCTTGAATATGAAGGAAGCCTGCAATATCACTGTTAAATAATGAACATAACATGTTGTGGCTGAAAATTGACACTGCTAATAAGCAGAGCTATTAAATGCCTAGCAGATACTCATAAAGCAGATCAGTTAGTTTTTTACAGCTACCCATAATGTTATTTACAATGCTTTTATGATCATTCATTCCTTGTAGTAATTGTATTGGCAACATGCATATAATGCTGGCACAATGCATAGTATGTTTTATGTTAATGCTTTGTATGACTTCTAATGTTCCCTTAATATCAAAAATAATTGGATAAGCAAGTAACCAGACAACCCAACAGTTCTAACAGGAATATTCACACTTTAACAGAGGATGGTACTTTAACAATAGTAACTAAAAAAATCTACGTGTTTACCAAAACCAGTATCACATCTTCTTCATTGTATGCATTATGGCATTTTGTAGTTTGAAAAATACATAAATGTAAAAGCAGACGTTCATCTATAGCTATTGCATTTTATCTCCATTTCTTCTAGGGGCCTCAGGGACCTCAGGGCCAGCCAGGGCTGCCTGTAAGTGCATAAAGAAACATGCCGTATTTTTCTGTTGTGTTTGCATTATATAAACGTGTGAAGCACCTAATATCTGGTTTCTTCCATTTTCCAGGGACCACCCGGACCACCAGGACCAAGAGTAAGTTCTGTAACTAACAACCCTAACCTACAATACAGTGCTTCCTTGAAAGTGAAAATAGCAGGATCCTCTTCAAATGCATTGCTAGTTCCATCACTGCACACCTTCCATCAGTACAGTAACACTTTTTTCAGCCTTCCGTCTTACACTGTCAGTTCTGTTCTGCCACGCTGTTGAGCCCTCAACAAGCAACGCTTGTGGACATACTCATACTTTTGACATAGGTTAATGCTGTCACACTCTGAAAGGTTTTTCTCCTGTTCTGTATTTGAACAGTCTGAAAGATAGCAACAGAAAATTTTGTACTATCTCTGGCCCAGGTGTTCTCCCTGTGTATATACATACAGAGAGATTTAGTTTAAGGGTTGCGCCAGTTAGGATAGACTCAATATCTGAAGTGTCCTCGAGATGTAATTATACATGTAATCTGAGAACAAATTACAAGAACTAGATGTTTGTGTGGGTAACTTAATTCTTAAAAAATAAACAAACCTGTTGTCTGGGTCTGGTATATACATCACACAAAGTGCAGAGAATGAAGATATGCAAGAAGCGGGCTTCCTCCTTCAGAGGCTAGTTTGTCTACCTTGGTATTTGTTCATGCATCATGAAGACTACTTTAATTTATCAACTGCTGATGGCCAATTGAGATACTCTTTGTGTGGTTCTCTGTAAAGGAAGAACAGCTTTTCACGCTTACCTGGATTGATTTTCTTGAGTACAGAAATTAAATGGCTGGGAGGAGTAAGTTGGGACATTAGTCTGTACAACTATGATAGTATCTTTTTTCCAGGTTCCAGGACTATGGTCATTAAATTGGGTATGGGGCTATTAATAAAAATCAAATATGCTTTTTCTGTATGCGTACTTGAATTCTTTGGAAGTAGAAGGGAGGATCCTATTTTAAAAGTAAGTGTTTACAGTGAATTATTTTCTAAAATGAGAAAATAACTAAGCTATCATGTATGTTGCTACAGTGCTCAAAGAATTTACCACCTGCATTTTAGAATATTCCTGTTCATCTTTCTTTATTCTGAAATATCTTTTTTTCAGAAGCAAGTGGACATCAGTGCTGCTGTTCAAGCTTTGATTGAGTCAAATGCTGCACTGCAGATGGAGGTAATATATTTCAATGTATTTACATTGTCATACAGGATATGCAATTATAATTTTATTTTTTGAGGACAACAAGGGTGCTTTACAAAGACTAAATTTAAAATGAATGATGGATAGCACGTAATTACTGTAGAATGTAATTAAACGTGCTAGGATTTATAGGATACCATTGAAATTAAGTTAAGAAAAACAGCAGCATTTCTACCTTTTTCTCATGATTGGCAATAATGGAAATTTACTGACTATCACACATAGCAGACTGTATCTGTTCAGTCACAGATAATGATAGTGGCATTTAGGCCTTGATCCAAAAAATACTGACATATATGCAAGTGTGTGGTCGTATTGATTGCAAGAAAATTCCTTACATTGATGACATCAAATACATTTGCATATATTTTCTAGGTTAAGCCTAAGAGTAGATTTCACTGTTCAAAATCTGAAACCGCTAAGTATATTTTAAAAATACACTAATTTTTAAATTTTTTTCTTTTTTTTCCCCTGTATCCACATTTTTATGTCAACATGTCATAATGACGTATTTGCATGATCTTAACCTGCCTCTAACTTCACTGCTCTGATAATTTTAATAAAATGTACTAATTTGTTTATTGGAATATGTTATTCTTACTCTGTTTTATATGGCTGATTGTATGCATTATAAATACTTTGCTTCTGTCTGGCTATTCAATGGCCATTTGACTTTTACTGCGTTGTTGCGATACTTCTTTGTGGTAACACATTTGCTAATGGCCCTTGGCAGAAATACCAGAATACTGAAGTAACTTTACTAGATCACAGTACAGAGATATTCAAAACGCTGCACTACCTTAGCAATTTGCTGCACAGCATCAAGAACCCTCTTGGCACACGGGATAACCCAGCACGCATCTGCAGGGATTTGCTTAACTGTGAACGTAAAGTGTCAGATGGTAAGTGTCCACTTTCATTAAAGCTTGAACACAACTAGGCTTTGAAATGTGTTGCTTCCAGATGTTACTTTCTACATCAAAACTCTAATGTGTAGATTTTTTACTGTATTCTGTTGCAGTGTGCCTGTCACAGCTATCTTTATTTTATCTCTATTTCAGATAAAATTTCTGAATTTTAAAAATGAAAGTATGTAGCTATCGTATATATCTATAATCTGTCTCTTATATCTATAAGTAAGCAAAAATGTCCAGAAAATTTGAAACTGAATCCAATTTTGTGATTAAAAGTTTCCCAAGTGTTCATAGCTAATCTTGCAATGAATTTTGTGTGCAACAGATTCTAGATAATTAATGAGAAAATTGTGGACAATACAATAGCACTGTCAGGTACACTTATAGGTGTTGTATCCCAGAAGATCCCAAATCAAATAAAAAATAATTATTTAAACCTGTAATGTCAATACTGTGACATAATTCAGTTTCTGAGTGGCTAATAAAATAACAAATACTGTAAATATCCCTATTATCGAGGATTAGCATTAACAAGCTAAGGAGGAAATAGGAAATTAAGTTAGAGGTTACAGGGAAATCACTGTTCTATGGCATATATGAAGACAGATCAATTCTTTAAGGCTCTAGCAGAGATGAGCCTAACTCTTACTAGAACTGTGCTCTCCTAAATAAATCTCAGTCCTTTAGGCCACGGAGATCACTGACACAGTCCTCCACTTCAGAGGATTACACACACCCATATAAATTGTAGAGTATAGGCTCACCTATATTTAACCATGAATTAAGGGCAGCTGAATCCTGATGCAATTTGCATGTGTCCTATTTCTTTTATTGGACCAAAATCCATAGATTCACAATGGCAAATATTCCTTAATACCATCACTAGGATATGTCATGTAGAAGTGTCTGATGGGAGAAAGATAGTGGAGAATGAAAGGGTCTTCAAGATGCTGTGAGAGCAAGAGAATTTAGATCGATATTTTACATCCCTGAATACATTCTCTGTATAAAGCCAAGCCTGAAGAAAAACAGTTTAAGTTTTAATACAGAAAGAGCAGCCTGGAAATACAGCTTGTTCTCACTATTTAGCTGTAGAAAGAGAAAACATTTTTGAAACTGTGACAGTATTCAGAACTCATTGTATATGTAATCAGAATTGAATGGTTATGATAATTTTGCTCAGTATCTGTTATTAGTAGAATTATAATAGTGAAAAGACTTTCATGTTCCTTTTCTTTCATTTCCTAGTGAAGCTATGTTGATACTATATCTAATACTTACCAAAAAGTATGAATATTTTAGCAAATTGTTTAGTAACAATTATATTTTGGGTTTATTTTCCATCTGGGGTTATATACTAATAGGAAAGTACTGGATTGACCCAAATATTGGATGTCCTTCTGATGCCATTGAAGTTTTCTGCAACTTCACTGCTGGTGGTCAGACATGTTTAATGCCGCTGTCTGTGACAAAGGTATGCATTGCTTCCAGAGAGACTGTATCTGTGCTAGAACTCTGAACAAATGAATGCTTATTTACTTAACTCATTAAGAGATGTTAGATTTCAGGAGGTTTTTAACGTGTGCCTTTGTGGAAGGACATGTTACATTTTCTGTTATAGAAGTTACAGACTTTCTGGAGACAATATATTTTAGTGTAACTCTCACTTTGTTCATTTACTCACCTTCCATGCTGATAGAATTATTTTGGTTTGCTTTATACTTTTCTATACAAGGCATAAAAATAAGCCTGAAATGCTTCTAAGCTGCGTTAGTAACTCATCACTCGGGGCAGTTAAGCGTAGAGATGCTGAGATCATTGTAATGGGAAGGAAGAAAATTATGAATACTTTTCAACACTTAGCTACTTTTAAATGCCATTAGGCAGGGACTGGTTTCCTTTATATCATTAGTCCATGCTCCTCTTTACACGTCGTCCTTAAACTCTTGGGAATAGAAATTTTATATTTGTGGAGTTTTGCATATATGTTGTAGTCATTGAAAAGCATCAGAAATACCAGAAAGTTTCCATACGGGTTCCTACATTTGGAAGATCCCTGAATATGATCTAGTCTTGGAGAAATTCTTGTTGAGTAATGACTAACTGTATTTTCTGTCTAAAATCAGAGTATGCTTATGAATTTTTTGATTTTTAATGGGATGTAGGTATTGCCGAAACCTGTGGTCTAAAAAGACTGAACAGCACAATGACATGGCTGCAGTTAAAACACTGCTGCTGATAATATCTTTGCTTGAATCACAAAATCATTTGTTTCAGTTTCCTTATTTAAAAATAGTGCTTTCTGCCCAGCTGTGTTTCAACAATGTTGTAAGCATTCACAAATGTTTAAATTTAAGCTTTGAAAATGTCTTATGAAAGTTTCTGTTTATAGTAATCACTATGATAGAACCTAACAGCTCTCCTGAAAAATATAAATTGTGCTCCTGGCATTGATCCCAATGTATAAACACCTATACATGCTCCCATGCCTGAATACCACAAATGTATGTACTTGTCACTTTGCATTGCTGTGGTCATTCAGCATAGTTGAGCTGCAAGTCTAATGATGCGTTTCTCTTGGAACTTAGCTGGAGTTCGGCGTTGGAAAAGTGCAGATGAACTTCCTTCATTTACTGAGCTCAGAAGCAACCCACAGCATCACAGTTCATTGTCTGAACACACCAATGTGGGGATTAAATAAAGCAGGTGGCCAGAAAACATCTGTTAGCTTCAGAGGATGGAATGGTCAAATGTTTAAAGCAAATACACTACTTGAACCGAAGGTGCTTATGGATGAATGCATGGTAAATACTTTTTAGCACTAGCATAATTAAAACCATAATAGAGTTACCTTTTAGACATTACTAACTTTCTGCAAATAAATAACAATAATTTAGATTCACATCCCTTGAAGCTTACTTCTTACCTCGTTCTTTTTACGTCTCTATATGCCAACCTTTTGATACTGAATTCAACATCCATCCAAACATAGAAGCAATTGCAGTAATACAGGGTATCTATACTTGCTGTTTGCGTTGTGTGTCATATATTTCAATACTCTGCTAAGACACTGGAGAGCGATCAGAACAGAAATAAGGAGGTCCTCCAGGGAACTTTAGGAACAGTTACTCTTAAAATGAAAATTCAGGCTTCAGTAAGAGTTCTGTTGAAGTTATCTAGCACAAAATCTCAGGTTCAAACAGGCTGGAAATTATTTTTTGGACAACTAAATATCTTTACATTCATTGACTGAGTCAATTGTTTGGTTATTTAATAAAATCGTGATGATTGGAAATGGACTCCATGGCTAACTAAAATATTAAATCATATTTGTATTTAGGAAAAATTGAAAGAGCTTATTAATTTTCTAATGCTTATTAGATTACTCCACTCACCAAGATGTGAGCCATTTGGTAAATGTCTTGGTACACTATGAAATACAGCAGCCAAACACCTTACACTTTTCACTATTTTAAGCTCTACTTTCATTTACAGTAATGAAAGATGTGACACTGGTTCCATATCGATACAGAGGTGTCAAGTGAGATTTTTAATCTCAAGACAGAAAGCGGTTTTATTGAGGCACTTCAAAGCTGTTATGCTTCCAACCTTTATCAGCACACACTAATGAGATGCTCTAGCCTGTGTCACACAGATAAGGTATGGCCATTGAAGCCCCTTCTACCCACATCCCAGTCTGTTTGGGACCATTTTAAACCCTGAGAAAACTTAAGGCATGCAGCCTCGGACAATGTTATAATGTTATTTTATAATTTTTGAGGTATCAGTTTTTTACTGAGATTTTTAAAGAATTAGAATAAACAATGCAAAGTTCATGGCAAAAATGCAGCTCTTATTCCCCATTATTATTCTTCAGGGGCATACAAAGTCATTCCAGTGTCTGTAGAGTTCATAAGCTGAGACCTACTGTTCAGATTTGGAGGTGAATTTGGCAAGAGATCTAAGAGTCTGTATGAGCCCAGGACTGCTTGCAAAGTGACAGGTGCTCTATTCTGAGCCATGTTGCACTGTGTCTGCATCCGCACCAGCGGGATTCCAGACTGGGCTTTTTTACAGTTACAGTTTTGCCAGGAGTGTGGTATTGCATAGGAGAAATAGCATTTGTTAAATTACACAGTTTCTTTAGGAACTGCTGGGAGAAGAAATGTTTCTGTACACTTCCCCTCCTCCTTTCACTCTCTAAGCACATTTTCCATTTGTGTTTTGAAGGTGATCTTTGATATGAATCTAATATTTTGCTTCTGTGTGTTGCAGATGGAAGATGGCAGCTGGCACAAGACACAGTTCTTTTTTCACACTCAGGACACTAATCAGCTTCCAGTTGTTCAAGTTAACACACTTCCTCATCTCAAACCAGGACAACAGCACTTCATAGAAAGTGGTTCAGTGTGCTTCCTTTAATGTTTCTGTCCTGGGTTTTTTTGCATCAACATGGAATTGCTGCATAGATTGAATGCAAAAGTAATGATCTATTACAGGAAAAATTACTGGGAAACTGAAGAGTCATTTTAAACAGTGTTGGTTAAAGAACCTCAGGAAGAAAAAGACTTCCTCCTAAGGAGAAATGGCATTGAAAAAGAAAAGAAAGAATGAAATTTTCGTAAAGTATTTAAAAAAAATTTGTTGGTACTTTCTTGCATAACTTCCTGAAACCAAGTATCTGAACATGGAATTTTTCAGGACCTCTAATGTTCTTAGCAATCTCTTTAACAGCACTGCAAAAAAAACATCCCGAGGAAAGCTGGAGACCTACAATGCTAAGGAGCAATACTGGCTAATGCTCCTAAATGTGCAATAGCTTATATATGAAAAGTGAATTATGCCACAGTACAATATGTCTTCTTTTCTTAAACATTGTTTTATTATAGTCCTTTGTGGACACATACATCTTAACAGATGGCACACTACCTCTTTTGTGTTTCCTGTCTATGTTGCCTTGGTGCTCTTCATAACACAAGGTGCTTGTGGCCTTAGCAGAAATCGAGTCTCTTTTTATCTTTCAGACTGTATGTGCTGGTTACATCAGGATACTTTTCTGTTGTAAAGGTACTTATTTTAAATTGTTGGTCACATCATTCACTACAATGAAAACGTTATTTATGTAGATTTCTTGTTTAAAATATTTTTGCATACTGTTGTGGAAATGGTATATGAGACAGCACACTGTATATGATGCATATAGTCAGAACAGTTAGCTTTACAGCCATTGTAAAAATTGTTGTAGAAGAGCTACCTACAGTAGTTTTGAGTTTTAGATTCTGTACTTCAGTTAACATTTCTAATGCCAAAGGCATCTTAAGAAGATATATTGTGTATATATTTTGTGACTTGTGAAAAAAAATCTACTACAGCATGTCTTCTGAACGGCTGCTGTTAAATTATAATCAGCATTTCATCAGCCTAGAAATTCCATTTTTTGCAAAGCTATTAGATAACTCTGGGTTTTTTAAAATTAAGCCTAAAATGTTCAGCCATCTTTTTTTTGTTAAAAAAGAACAATTTTACCATTAGGAAAAGCACTCTTTATAATGATATGCCTCTATTATGAATCCAAAGTGTGATCAGTAGTACATGGCAATGTGATATCAGACTATACTGGGGAGCAGGGGAGCATTCGAACAACTTGTTTAACTGTCTTGATCCACAGGAAACCACAATTACCAAAGTATAATAAAATAAGCTTCCAAGCTATCTGTTTGTCTTTTATTCTTCTGTTTCGTATTGTAAAGGTCATTCTTAGTAACGATAATTCTCTGGAAAGGTACTTGTTAGGTGGCAGTGCCTCTTTTAGCAAGGGGAAATGCACGTGCTTCGTGCCATGGAGTACTGTGAGAGTGACAGTGTTTATTTTTACAAGGTAACGTACATGTACATCCCATTTTACATTTTATATCAAAGCATCAGTTTTGTTCCCTTTGAGAAAATCTGAGAAAACTAAAGACAAAGCAAGATTACACAGTGATGATAAAGGTTAGAGAAAACATCTCACTTTTTGCATTTTCAAGATCATTACACTCTGACAGCATGACTTGACATTTGCTCTTTGTTTGGCTGTGGACCTGATGTTGTGACAAATGGATTTTTTTTTTTGGTAAGAATGTCATCTTTTAGAAAATGTTCTGCTTCATGTATATTTTTATTAGTCTCATTGACAGCATCACTTGACATTTGCTGTTTGTTTGGCTGCGGACCTGATGTTGTGACAAATGGATTATTTTTTTTTGGTAAGAATGTCATCTTTTAGAAAATGTTCTGCTTCATGTATATTTTTATTAGTCTCATTGCCTATTTTTGGAAATTCTTTATAGCCTGTATTTATGGTTTATATTAGCATATCTCAGAAATTAACCTATTTTAAAAACAAAGAGCTTAAAGTATTATAAGGCTGCTCAGATGTAAATATGTGCCTTTCTGTAACTGAGGCAAAAATGCCCATCCCATGCAGACAGCGCAGTGAACTTGTGCAGCGGGACACTGACAGATAATGGTAGTGTACCATGATGCTTGACTTGGAGGTTGCCAGAAACATTTCGCTGAAAGCATGCTGTTTCACAGTCTACTTGTATACGCTGCGGTGTGTGTTTTGGAAAGCCTCTTGTATTCAGACATCTTTACCGAAGCTCCTGAAGGCATTCGCAGGAGATCTCGTACAATTTTGTCCCACAATGTTAACAAGTACCTGTACTCTGCAATTAATTTTTTTATGGTTTCTGAGGTGGTCGCCTACTTTGTTAACCTTAATTTTAGAGCAAGCCCTGAGCTAGATTGCAAGCGTCCTTCATCAGAATC